AAAAACTAAATTAGTATTTATGTGAATGATATTTTCATAAATTAAGATATTAGTTATAATTCCCAAGGCAACTACTACAAAAATTACTAAATATTTATACAGTAAAATAAGTGACTAGGGAATAAAAATGGTACATTAGAAAATAATCTATTTAACCCAAAAGAAGGCAGTAACAAAGGAATAAAGGTACAAAAAAAAGACATAGAGAAAACAATGACAAAATGGAAGAAAGAAATCCTACCTCGTCTGTAATTACATTCAATGTAAATGTATTAAACATTCCATTCAAAGGCAGAGGTTGGCAGATGAATAAAAAAACATGATCTAACTATGTACTGTTTACAAAAGACACTTTCAGATTCAAAGATATAAATAGACTCAGAGTAAAAGGATAGAAAAAGATGTACCATGCAAATGGTACCTTAAAAAGAATTGGAATGGTTACACTAATATTAGAAAAAATAGACTTTTAGACAAAAATCATTACCAGTGACAAATAGGGATATTTTGTAATGATAAAAGTTTCAGCACATCAAGAGAATATAACAATTATACACATGTATGCACCTAATAGCACAGCCCCAAAATACATGAAGAAAAAACTAACAAAGCAGTCATCATCTGACTTAGAACTGAAAATCAAAACTCAAAGTTGGCTTTTGAATGAACCTTAAGGAAATATGGATGCTACTCTTGAGCACCACTGTTGGATGAAGAACCTTGAGGTACAGTATAATCAAAATATGGAAAAATAGTCCGTGAGGTTTAACTAAGTGGATTTTTAAATCAATCCAGAAAAATTAATTTTATTTAACTTTTTTTATTTCATTTTGAGGGGGGGCAATTATTCACCTATGTTGTACCTATTTGTGTTTTATATTGTTTTTCTTTATACATATGATAACCAGAACTCAATAGCTTTTTACTAATGGTAACACAAAATGGTCTGGACATATGTAAAATCTGAGTTTATCAGTGACAGGAGGCAAGCATAATATCCTGTGTAACAAAATAAGACTCTGGAGCATTAGAACAGAAGGGAAGAAAGATTTTCTTAGCAAATTATTGCTTTCTATCTGAATTCTCTGAAATTTTGAGGCTATACTACTGAAGAGGCTACAAATTTAGATATTAGATGTTGGAAGGCCTTATGTTAAATATCTTACAAAATAAACTATTGAGAAATGAACAAAGAATTTTTACATTCCTTATGTTTTTAATGTATGGCGTTACAGTATCTTAAGACTGAAGCATAGACGGCTGTGACATTTTTTCACAATAAATATGGTGCTTACCCATTCGAAGACATTCTAAAGAAGCTTGGCCCCAGTTCCGTGTGTATGAGGACTCAATATAATAGCAGTGGCCATGGAAAGGAATCCATGCTGTATGTTCTGACTCTGGGCATCTGCCAGGCAGTTGCGGAGGTTCAGTGGCAGGGAGTTCTGTTAATAAAAATACACTTAAAACAACACAAAAACTAAAATTTCTATATCAGATAGAATAATATCTTAGCAGATAAGGGATTTTGGGGTAAGGGATTTGGCTGCTAACCAGAAGGTCAGTGGTTCAAACTGACCAGCTGGTCAGAAGATGGGGTGATGTACTTCCATAAATATTTACAGCTTCAGAAACCCAATGAGGGTTGCTATGAGTCAGAATTGACTCAACGCCAGTGAGTTTGGTTCGGTTTTGGATCACTACAAAAGAAAAATTTCTAATAGCTACCATTTAGATTTACATCTTTATTATTGGGTTTTCTTTTACCTTTTTTTTTAAAAAAAAATAGGTTCAGTAAGATGTACCACAGTATGGTGGTAATCAATAACACTTATAATCAAGAATGTAGATCTGCAGGTACTTCTAAGGATATTAATAATAATAATAATAAAAACTCATCCAAAATAACATTCAAAGAGATTCCCCCTTCCACCCCTTTCTGAGATCCTAGCCCCTATAATAAGCCCTTCTTAGCTATTAAAGACATCTGTAATATAATTAAGTGATATCATTAGAATTGTAGGTCTTAGTCCATAATAAAACTGATTCTAACTTAATCTATATACATTCTGTTAAAATTATTTTGATATGGATATGTAGTAGATGATAAAAAAATAAGCATAATTTCTGAGGGGATCTGGGATCATCAATTCAGAGAACAAACTCAATAATGAACATTCAGAAATTAAAAATTAAATAAACTCTATCAATAAAGAAAAGTTTCTTTCTGTGTTTTTTTTGACATACATATACTGGTTAAACCCCAAGTCAGCCTTTATGTAGATGAAGGGACATGTTTTATACAATCTTAGCTACCTGAAACACATATCTGTTTAATAATATCCATAGTAGAGTATAGTGACTTTTTCAGAAAATTACAAAACCCTGATTTTTTTTTTATTATTATTCAATTACCTTTTGATCTTTTACAGAGAGAATGGAACGTTTCATTGCAATATGCTGTCTTCCAGAAGCCATCAATATCAAGATAAACACAGGCTGCTTTCAATTTGGGTTCATCAGCAGCCCAATTGGTGTATCTTACTCTCCATTTATCAGTCCAAACATATTCATTATTGGTCTGCAAGGACAAAAACAACCATTAACATGGAGGCTTGCTTCAAGTAGAAAATACCAAAACCAAGGGGAAAAAAAATTACATTTAAGATTGTGGTTTGACATAGAATCATGAACTTTGGGGTGTAAAAGTGACCCTTATAATAAGTCACTTCTACTCATTTTTCTCAAATTCAGTAAATGTAGCCTTTTATTTTAAAGAACTAGTTCTTGGACATCTCCAAGAATATGTCTTTGGAAACTGATTTGAAAACACTAACAGAAAAAAACTGATACCTCTTTCTATGGAATTCTTTAACATTTTCAGATTTCTGGTATCAAAGTTTTATCTTCATAACAAATAAAATAGTTTATATTATTGAAATTAAAATAAGAATTAAGTAATTTCAATAAACTTGTGGAATCCTGAGATACACAGTAATCTAATATGAAACAGTGGCGCTGATAAATGACTGAGATGAATTCACCAGGATAGTTAGGAGAGCTCTGATAGAATAATGTCTAAGGCACCTGACTGCTAACCAGAAGGCTGGTGGTTCAAACACACCAGCCAATCCTCAGAAGGAAGATTGGGCAATCTACTTTCATAGTGATACTGCCTCAGAAACTCAAGGAGGGGTTGCTATGAGTTGGGCCCAACTCCATGGCACATAACAACAACAGTTAGGAGAAGAGCCTAAGTTTCTTGCCTTCCAGGCAGGTGGTCTTTCAACTATACAAATATGGTGCTATTTATTAAAAAAAAACAAACTGGTTGTTTCATTCAATTTGCCCCCTTAACTTTTAATTAAATCTAGTTAAACAAATTTATGATCATATATAGTCTAATTGATAAGATGAAAAATATTGTTTACCAGTAATAGAATACTAGAATAATTATTAATGTTATCAATATAAGGAATAGTACTGTTTTAGTTATAAATTTTGATATAATGGAAAGCTATTTAATATTTCTAAAAATAAATAAAAGCCTATTTTAAGTTTATAAGAGAATTTTAACAATGTCTGTGAGAAGAAAATGAATTATCAAATGAATTATCAAATGGATTAAGTACTAAAAATACAGTTTGTGTAGAAACATAAATTTGGGAGCTCTGGTGGCGTAGTGCCTGAGGCATTTGACTGCTAACCAGAAGGTTGGTGATTCAAACCCACTGGCCACTCTTTGGAAGGAAGAGTGGGCAATTTACCTCCATAGAGATACCACCTCGGAAACCCAAGGAGGGGTCGCTATGAATTGGATCCTACTCCATGGCAGTGAGTTTGTTTTCTTGTTTGTTTGCCTAAATTTAATCCCAGAAACCAATAATAAATGTTTAGTTTTAAATACTCACTTTCCCACTTAAAAAACTCCTAATTGCATAAAGTGTAAATTTTGATCTCTACACATGGCATTGTTGTTGTTGTTGTTATGTGCCATGGAGTTGAACCCAACTCATAGCGACCCCTCCTTGGGTTTTTGAGGTGGTATCACTACAGGAAGTAGATTGCACAACCTTCCTTCTAAGGAGTGGCTGGTGGGTTTGAACGGCCAGCCTTCTGGTTAGCAGTCAAGTGCCTTAGGCACTATGCTACCAGAGCTGCTTCATAACGGCATTAGAAGCTCTATAAACTATGACAGCAACCTACTTTCCAGTTTTATCCTCTTTCTCTTCTAAATACTCCTTCCTTATTTTCTGCTACTCTAGACCACATGTAAGGAGCTCTGGTGGCACAGTGGTTAAGGCATGGGGCTGCTAACCAAAAGATATGTGGTTCAAACCCACCAGCTCTTTCATGGGAGGAACACGAGGCAATCTACTGCTGTAAAGATTTACAGCCTTGGAAACTTGATGGCATAGCTATGAGTTGGAATTGACTTTATAGCAGTGGGTTTGGTGGGTTAGACCACATCTATAAAGTTCTACTTTCTTTGAGAAGTCCTACTTTGTCTTTTCCCCTGGCACAACTGGTTCCTTTTCCATCCTCTCAAAAGTGCTTTACTATGCCTCTCTTTTGACACTTATTTTAATTATTTGTTGGCATGTCGATGTCCTTTACTAGAAAGTTTGCTAGCTGAATGGGTGGATGGATGGATGAAGGTAGGATCATGAGGCACCAGGGAAGATTCATTTTAAGAGCATTTGGCAACTATAGCACCACTCTTGTTGCCCTGCCTCATCCTTCACTCCACCGGATTCTCTGTCAACTTTCACTTTTCTTTTGCAGAATATAGGGTATTTATTGCAACGAAATACTCCTCACACAAAGATAGAAGGTCCACAACTTCAGGACCTGAAATGACTCTAGAACGGCTTGCCGTAAAAAAAAAATTGAAGTTTCCCATTACCTAGCAACCATGTTCCTGACATGATTTCTTAATTCCCATGGCATAGTTGAAATAATGATACTAGAAACAAATGAATAAATAAAACTACTAATACTCAGGATACAATTTTATTATTCAAAACCAGTATGATAATATATTGGTTAGATAATTCTTACTTGATTTCTGACACACATCACTAGCTTGCTAGCTCCTTGAAGGCATGCATCATGTTTTCTTTATCTTTGTACTATCCACAATTTACACATAACAAGTGTTCAATGGAATAAACATAAAGAGGACCGTTTTCAACCACAATTTATCAAAATGTCAAATTGTGCATGTCTGGAATCTTACCAAGTTACTATTCAGGGCAATCCACACTGGTGCATTCATTTTTTGCATTTGTATCCACACAAATGCATTGCTATAGGGGTCTAGAATGCTTCCAATATTGGATTTCTGATATTTGCAATAATTCTCTGCATCATACCATGAAAGCTTTAAGTCAATGAGTGAATAGCTGCTTTCCCCATATTTAATAAAACTATCTGTTGAACTCGTTGGAGAATCAGATAAAGATGGGTCTGAAATAAAAAAGATTATTTGTGTTAACATTTTCAATAAATATTAATGATGAGTATCATATCTCATACATTGTAAAAATAATCAGAATAGCACAAATCTAAGCTTCCAAGTATTAAAAATATTTTCATAAATTAATTTACACTATAAAACCAAATTTATATGAAATCAGAATTAAATTCTGATTGAATTCTAATCTAATTAAATTCAGTAATTTTCAAACTATAGGACAAATATTAAGGTAAATATATGATCAAGTTTCCAAACTAAAAAACAAAGTTTTGCCAACCAAATGGTGATCCAGTATCAGGATGAAAGAAATACCACAGTAGTTATTAATAGATTTTTTTTTTTTTTTTTTTACTACAAGGTCAAGAGTAGTCTTTCTCCTCTTCACCCTATTTATTCCATTCCAACTGGGAGTTGCCTTCTATTTGTATCTGTTTGACTCTACCTGTAAGTAATGCACCTATGAACAATGATTTAGGTTTCTGGAATGAAGCCATAACCAGTCACTTGTTCATTTATCTTTTATTTGATGATCAAGCTCTGCTCTTACTGACAATTTCCTATGTCTTTAATCCAAACCCCATATATATTATCCAAACTGACTGGGATACTGAAACCCTTGTAAGCCAAATTGCTTTTTTTTCCCCCTTTCCTTCTCAACCTCCTAGCTTGAGTTTCTGATCAGTGCTTTAGGCCTGCCCTTACTCTGAGACACTTAAAGATCCTGAAAAAAAAAAAAAAAAAAAAAAACTTGCAGCCACTCATTGGAAGGAAGATTGGGCAATTTACTTCTGCCTCGGAAACCAAAGGAGGGATCGCTATCAGTTGGATCCGACTCCAGGGTGGTGAGTTTGATTTTTTTTCCCCCCTCCATTCCTGCATTCCTTAGCTGATGTTCTAGAGCAAGGGGTCAGCAAACAAAAGCCTGAGAGCCAAATCTGGCTTTCTGTCTGTTTTTGTAGCCCAGGAGCTCAGAATGTTTTTTTTTTTTAATGGTTTGAAAAATAAATCAAAATAGAACAATGTTATGGATTGAATTGTGTCCCCCCAGAAAATATATCTTATAATTCCTAACCTCTCTGCTTGTGGTTATAATCCTATTTGGGAAAAAGGTTGTCTTTGCTATATTAATGCCACATGATGAAGATGTAAAAGAGATGAAACAAACAAGTAAGCAGGCAGAGATGGGGAAAGAGAGATGCCAAGACACATGGAAGTTGTTCAGGAACAGAAGCTCAGAAGAGACAAGACATTCCTACTGACAGAGAGAGAAAGGCTTCCCCTAGAGCCGGTGCTCTCACTTTGGACTTCTAGTCTCCTAAACTGAGAGAAAATAAATTTCTATTTGTTAAAACCATCCACTTGTGGTATTTCTGTTACAGTGTTGTTGTTGTTACGTGCCGTTGAGTTGGAGCCAACTCATAGCAACACTTCCTTATGTTTCTGAGACAGTATCTCTATAGAAGTAGATTGCCCAATCTTCCATCTGAGGAGTGGCTGGTGGGTTTGAACCGCCAACCTTCTGGCTAGCAGTCAAGTGCCTTAGGCACTATGCCACCAGAACTTCCTCTGTTATAGTACAACTTCCGTAGTGATACTGCCTCGGAAACCCAAGGAGGAGTCACTATGAGTTGGGTCCAACTCAGTGGCACAGAACAACAACAACAACAACAGGTAACTAAGACAGAATATAGTACCAGAAAAGTAAGTTGATGCTCTAATAGATACCTAGAATTGGAAGTTGTTTGGAAGTGGGTAATGAGTAGTGATTGGGAGAGTTTTAAGGTGCTTAATGGTAAAAGCCTAGATTGGGTTGAAGAGACTGTTGGTAGAATTATGGACATCAAAGGCAACACTAGTAGGACTCAGAAGGAAGTGGAGAGACCTATACAGAAAGTATTTATCATCTTAGAGAATACATATGGTACCAGCAACAGAATGTTGTTAGAAATGAGGTCATTGAATGTGCTTCTGATGAAGCTTTAAAAGAAAATGATGAACATGTGACTGGAAAAAAATAAAAAAGGTGATGCTTTTTATGCAGTGACAAAGAACTTGTCTGAATCATGTACAAAGGTTTGGTGGAAGGTGGAACTTTTAAATGAATTTAATTATCTGGCTGATGAGATTTCTAAGTAAGATCTTAAAGATTCCACGTGGTTTCTCCTTGCCACTTTTAGTAAAATTCAAGAGGTAAGAGATGGACTTAAAACTGAACTGTGCAAAATGAACTTTAAGATTCAGACAATTCTGTTGTTCAAATTAAGGACATGTGTCCTAGAATTTTCATGAGGACTTGACTACACAATCTTTTGTTAAAAGAATTAAGCCAGTGATTGATGGATCTAAGCAACTATGACAGCAGAAAACCCAACAGCTTAGACTGAAGCATACAAAGAAAAAAAATGAAGGGAAAGAATACTATCTTCATCTTAAATTCTACAGGCAGAAAACGGGACAAAGGAGCTGTATATTTTGTCCTCCAGGAAAGGAAAAGGACCATCCTGAGAGCAGTTTGGAGATCAAGAGAACTGCTAGAAGAAGCATGGGAAGCAGGGACTTCTGGGTTTCAAAGGGTGGGACCATGATCTCCTGGATCTCAAAGGGTGAAACCACAGCCTCCTGGTTTTCAAAGAGTCAAATCTTTGCTAACTCAGTTCTAGAGTGTGGGTCTCCCATTAATATATACTGGGGGATAGGACTGCCACCCAAAGCTGAGTGGGCATGGCTTCCATGCCCAAATGGCAGAAGAACGAGCCTGCTGGGGCCATTCACATGGACTAGGTAAATGGGGTTGCACAAAGCTGAGGGAGTAGAGTTGCCATCCCAGGGAGCCTGGAAGACAGAGTGGAATCCCAGGCCCAAGAGGCTTCCCACCAGAATCCAGAGAACATGGCCAACACCCAGAGTCTGAAGGGCAGGGACATTGCCTGGTTGGTCTCAGAGAAACAGAGGATTATTTTCAAGCCTTGAGAGCTAATGTAATTTGTTTTACTGGATTTTGGACTTCCTTGGTGCCTGTTATCCTTTTTTCTCTCTCAAATTTCTCCCATTTGTAATGGAAATGTCTAATTTGTGCCTCTTCTGCCATTGCACTTTGGAAACAAATAACTTGTCATCTAGATTCCACAGGTCAACAGATGAAGAGGAATTTTGCTCCAGGATCAAATACCCATATTTAATTTAGACAATTAAAAAGATGAGATTTTGGACTTGGAGTTGATTTAAGACTTTTGTGATGAAATGATGGAGTAAATGTGTTTTGCATGTAGCAAGGACATGAATTTTGGGGGCAAAGGGTAGAATGTAATGGATTAAATTGTATTCCGCCAAAATAAATTGTAATTCCTAACCTCTGTGCCTGTGGTTATAATCACATTTGGGAATGGGTTGTCTTTGTTATGTTAGTGAGGCATGTGTCTTGAGTCAATCTATTCTGAGATACAAGAGATGAAACAACAAGCGAGCAAACAGAGATGGGGAAGGAGAGATGCGAAGACACATGAAGATCACCCACAAACAGAAACTTAGAAGAGACACAGACATTCGTCCAGAGTGGAGAGAGAGAGAGAAAGACTTCTCCTAAAGTGGACACTCTGAATTTGGACTTCTAGACTTCTAAGCTGTGAGAAAATAAATTTTTTTGTTAAAACCATCCACTTGTGGTATTTCTGTTACAGCAGGGTTAAATAACTAAAACAATATTTTATGACTCGTAAAAATTATGTGGCATTCAAATGTCAGTGTCTATAAATCAGGTTTATTGGAACACAGGTAAGTGCATTTATTTGTATATTATCTATGGCTGTGGAAGGCGGGTGTTTCTGTGAGTGGAGCAACCCAGGGGCAGGCTGCAGTAAGCCAGCCTAGGACCAGTGGAAGGCAGGTGTTTGTGTGGAGTGTCCCAGAGGCATAATGGGTAAGCAAGCAGGGAAGGGGAGACCAGGAACTGAGTGGACCAGTTTGGAACAGCTAAGGGAGACAAACTTGTCTGTCAGTTTGTCATACTATGGTGGCTTGAGTATTGCTGTGAGGCTGGAAGCTATGCCACTGGTGTTTCAAATGTCAGCAGGGTTACCGATGGTGGACACATTTCAGTGGAGCTTCGGACTAAGACACATTTGGAGGAGGGAAGAAGCCATCCACTGCTCACAGAATTGCCTGGTGAAAACTTTATGAATAGCAATGAAACACTGTCTGATATGTTACAGGAAAATTTTATGAATAGCCCTGAAACATTGTTTGATATAGTGCCAGAAGATGAGTTCCTCAGGTCAGAAGGCACTCAAAATATGATGAAGAAGGGCTGCCTCCATAGAGTAAAGCCAACCTTAATGATGTGGATAGAATAAAGCTTTCAGGGCTTCCATATGCTGATGTGGCACATCTCAAGATGAGAAGAAACAGCTGCAAACATCTATTAATAACTGGAACATGGACTATACAAAGTATGAATCTAGGAAAAAGGGAAGTTGTCAAAAATGAAATGAAACGCATAAGGATCAATGTCCTAGGCATTAGGAAGCTGAAATGGACTGCTTTTGGCCATTTTGAATGAGATGATCATATGATCTACTATGCTGGGAACGACAAATTGAAGAAGAATGGTATGGCATTTATCATCACAAAGAATGTATCAAGATCTATCCTGAAGTAGAATGCTATCAGTGATAGGATAATATCTATACACCTCCAAGGAAGACCAGTTAATACTGCCATTATTCAAATTTACACACCAACCACCAAAGCCAAAGATGATGAAATTCAAGATTTTTACCAACTTCTGCAGTCTGAAACTGACCAAACGTGCAATTAACATGTGTTAATTATCATTGGTGAATGAAATGCAAAAGTTGGAAACAAAGAAGAATCACCAATAGTTGGAAAATATAGCTTGGTGATAGGAATGACGCTGGAGATCTCATGATAGAATTTTGCAAGACCAATGGTTTATTCATTGCAAATACCTTTTTCAACAACACAAATGGCAGCT